AATGTCCTTTGTTAGGATTTTTATGTTCTCATTTAGAGGGAGAAACTCATATACTTTGGGAGAGTATCCCAAAGTAGGGAAGCCCGAGTTGCTGGGTGTCAATAAAGTATAGTCCCTTTAATATCCTTGGAGTCACCAACATTGTGCATGTATTTTTGTGTACAGAACTTCTCTCTCTCTCTCTCTCTCTCTCTCTCTCTCTCTCTCTCTCTCTCTCTCTCTCTCTCATTACTTCTGAGATTGCTCTTTGCAGACCAGGTATCCTTTCCTTAGACACTAGTCTTCTGAAAGTTTGTTAGACTGTTGATAAAAAGCTATGTGTACTACAGCCACGTAAATAAAAATGAAAAATTTAGAGATTTAGAGATTGAGTCAGGATTCTTAGCTACTTGGAAAAAGTATCTTTGCTTGCTAATTTATCCTTTGCTGTGGGCTTTCATATCCTGGAGATGGTCCAAGACAACATGTTTTCTATAGCATACGTCCAAAGGTATTAGTGAAAACATGATTTCAGTCTAGAGGGAGACTGTGAGTTTCAGGCTGTAAGCTGACTAAAGTCTCTTTTCTGAGGTACTGGAAAGGGAATCACCTTTATTAAGTAGATAGCATTCATTGTCATACCATTTTCCGACACCACTGACATGTTTGTAGAAGAAGAGGGAACCACATTCAGGCACAACAGTCTCACTCTGAGATTCATTGTTTTCTTATATTAAGGCAGTACAAAGTGTTACATACACATAAAGAACCAACTTTTTAAAAAACCAGTGATCTCAGTTTCAAAGTTAGGTTAAAAAAATAGAGTAGCTTCTTGCATCCACCCATGGATCTCTTAGCATTGCCTCCACCTCCCAGTCCATATTCAGAGCCCCCACGTCCTGTGCCAGGGCTTACCATGGTAAGTACCCCACACAGACTGATTCTAATTTTTTTTTCAACCCAACAAATCTGTCCTGGGTCTCACAGCTGGTGCTTCGGCCTACTCTGACCACTTCCTCCTGTCGACCTTTAGGCTTCTTCCAGGACCTGCTAGAATAAATCTTAGGCAATATCTACTTGATACAAGTGTAGGCAAAGACTTCCTGAATAGGACTCCATTTGCCCAAGAATTAGGGTCAATTTTTGAGAAGTGGGATTTCATGACAATTAAAAACCTTCCGCACAGTGAAAGAACCAATCAACGGGGTGAGGAGGAAGCACAGGATAGGAGAAAATCTTTGCTATCTATACATCTGATATATGAAGAACTCAATAACAAACCCTCAAAACCAAACAAAAACAAAAAACAAACAAAACCCAACAACCCCCCAAACCAAAACCACACAACCCAACAGAAAGAACAGTTGGCAAATGAGGAAAGCTGGGAACAAGAGAGGTGGCCTTCCCCAGTGCCAGACAGTCATCCCTGAAAACATTCTGACAGATAGCATTGTATGGACTGGACAGGTTATGTTTAAGAATATGCATGTATATACATATATGCATGTAACAACAGTTAGTTAAAAAAGAAAGGCCATGAATTTGAAGGAAAGAGGGGATGGGTCTGTGGGAGGGTTTGAAAATAGGAAAGGGAAGAGAGAAATTAAATTATAATATCAAATAAATGATTTAAAATAGCATAAAATAAAATTATTCAACAAATCTATTCTGAGAAGTACATATGTACCAGTGCACATGCTTGAAGTTTGCTGCCAAAATATATGTAAACAGGATTGTATAAAAATTGTTTGACAATGTATCAAATGTATAGATATAAATATTGAGGTCTGAGTGGATTCATAGTAGGGACTTTGTGCATAACTCACCATTTTTTATTGATATTTATGTTTCATTTACGAGTTAAAGTAATGTTAGTTCCATCATCAAAACCATCTTGAAAATACAAGGACAACAAAGCTGCAAACCACAGATTCTTTTGAAGGGCCAGCAAACAGATCATTTCCATATCTGGTTCTTGATGACACATGAACCTGTCACTTTATATTAAGCATGTCAGTATCTCAGGAAATTGTTAATTCACTTAGAAGAATTAAAAGTCACAACATGTGACCTTGGGGAACACATACTATAGGCACATATACTTGAAAAGTTTGGCATGTAGACAAAAGCTGTATAAATTAAGATGTCATCCAGATGATATGTAAAATTATTAGAAATATGTGGTGTGCTGGGTGGTGGTGGCACATATTTTTAATTCCAGCACTTGGGAGGCAGAGGCAGGCAGATTTCTGAGTGTGAGGTTGGCCTGGTCTACAGAATGAGTTCCAGGACAGTCAGGGCTACACAGAGAAACCCTGTCTCAAAAGAAAAAGAAAGAAATACAGGATGTAGCAAATAGGGTAAATTTTAGATAGAATATGGACCATAGCATGGGAAGAAGTATCAGCACCATGGTATCTATCATATAAGATTTTTTTTTAGATTTGTTTATTATGTATAGATAATAAACAATACTATGTATACAGTATTCTGCCTGCATGTATGCCTGCAGGCCAGAAGAGTGTGCCAGATCTCATTACAGAGGGTTGTGAGCCACCATGTGGTTACTGGGAATTGAACTCAGGACCTCTGGAAGAACAGTCAGTTCTCTTAACTGCTGAACCATCTCTCTAACCCCACAAAAAAATTTCTAACTGAAAGAAGGAGATGCCTATAATGGTACAAGAAGCATACAGAACACCAAATAGATTAAACCAGAAAAGAAAGGCAGACCCATTAGAATTACACCCGACTTCTCAATGGAGACTCTAAAAGCCAGAAGGTCCTGGATAGTTATCTCACAGAATCTAGGAGACCGCAGATACCAAGCAAGACTACTATATCAAGCAAAACTTTCAATCACCATACATGGAGAAAAGTAAGATATTCTATGACAAAATTAAATTTGAGCAATATTTGTAGATAAGCAATATTTGTCTTTATATGTTACTTGGCTTTTTCCTTTGCATTTTTAATATTCTTTCTTTATTCTGTATGTTTAGTGTTTTGATGATTATGTGGCAAGGGGAATTTCTGTTCTGTCCAATCTATTTGATGTTCTATATGCTTCTTGTACCTATCAGAATTACACCCTACTTCTCAATGGAGTCTCTAAAAGTCTGAAAGGCCTGGAAAGATGTACTGCAGATTCCAAGAGACCACAGATGCCAACCCAGATTACTATACTCAGCAAAATTTTCAGTCAGCATAGATGGAGAAAATAAGACATTCCATGATAAAGTCAAATGTAAACAATATCTATATACAAATCCAGCCCTGTAGAAGATGCTGAAAGGAAAAATCCAAACCAAAGAGGATCACTATACACATAAAAACACAGAAAATAAATAATCTCACACTAGGAAAACCAAAAGAAGGGAAGGGAACAAACACACATACCAGCAGCAGCAGCAGCAGCAGCAGCAGCAGCAGCAGCAGCAGCAGCAGCAACAAGATAACAGGAATCAACAATCATCAGTTATCGATATCTCTCAGTATCAATGGACTCAATTTCCCAATAAAAAGACACATACTAACAGTGGATGCAAAAAACAGGATCCATTCTTCTGTTGCATCAAAGAACCACACCAACAACATCAGAGATAGACATTAACTCAGAGTAAACGATGGGAAAAAGATTTTCCAGCAAATAGACCTAAGAAGTAAGCTGATGCAGCCATTTTAATATGTAACACAATAGACTTCAAACCAAAATTAATCAAAAGAAATGGGAAGGACACTTTATACTCATCAAAAGAAAAATCCACCAAGATGACATTTCAATTCTTAACATCTATGCTCCCAATACAAGGGTACCCAAATTTGTAAAAGAAACACTACTACAGCTTAAGTAATGCATTGACCCTCACAAATCTATAGTGGGAGACTTCAATACCCCACTCTCACCAATGATCATGTCATCAAAAACAAACAAACAAAAAAACTAAACAGAAAAATGCTGGAGCTAACAGATGTTATAAACCAAATGGACTTAACAGATATTTATAGAACATTTCCCACAAACACAAAAGAATATACTTCTTCTCAGCATCTCATGGGACTTTCTCCAAAATCGACCACATACTTGGACAGAAAGTAAGTCTCAATAGATACAAGAAAATTAAAATAACCCCCTGCATCCTATTAGACCACTACAGATTACAGCTGGATTTCAACAACAAGAGAGCCAACAGAAAGCTTACAAACTCATGGAAACTGAACAACTCTGAATTGAATGAAAAATGTGTCAAGACAGAAATAAGAAAGAAATCAAAACTTTCTAGAATTCAATGAAGATGAACACACAGCATACCCAAACTTATGGGACACAATGAAAACAGTGCTAAGAGGAAAGTTCATAGCACTGAGTGCCTACATAAAAAAAAATTGGAGAGATCTCATACTAGTAACTTAACAGCACACTTAAAACTCTAGAACAACAAAAAAAAGCAAGCATGCCCAAGAACAGTAGATGGCAGGAAACAATCAAACTGAGGGCTGAAATCAATAAAATAGAAATGAGAACAATACAAAGAATCAATAAAACAAAGAGTTGATTCTTTGAGAAAATCTACAAGATAGACAAACCTGTATCCAAACTAACTAAAAGACACAGAGAGAATATCCAAATTAACAAAATTGGAAATGAAAAGGAGACATAACAACAGACACCAAGGAAATCCAGAGAATTGTAAGGACATACTTTAAAAAACTCTACTCCACCAAGCTGAAAAACTAAAAGAAATGAATAAATTTGGAAAACTAAAAGACATGGATAAATTTTCTCATCAAGATCAGATAAACAATTTAACTAGACCTTCCTAGTCAAGTAGAAGCAGTCATTAAAATTCTCTCGCCGGGCGGTGGTGGCTCACGCCTTTAATCCCAGCACTCGGGAGGCAGAGCCAGGTGGATCTCTGTGAGTTCGAGGCCAGCCTGGACTACCAAGTGAGTTCCAGGACAGGCGCAAAGCTACACAGAGAAACCCTGTCTCGAAAAACCAAAAAAAAAAAAAAAACCAAAAAAAAAAAACCCAAAAAACTCTCTCAACCTAAAAAAGCCCAGGGCCAGGTAGTTTTAGTAGGGAATTCTACCAGACTTTCAAAGAAAAATTAACACCGATATTCCTTACATTATTCCACAAAATGGAAACAGAAGAAACATTGCAAAAACTCATTTTATGAGGCCACAGTTACTCTGATACCCAAACCACAGAAAGACTAAACAAAAAAGAGAATTGTAGACCAACTTCCATCATGAACATAGATGTAAAAATACTCAATAAAATACTTGCAAACCAAATACAAGAACACATCAAAAAGATTATTCATCATGATCAAGTATACTTCATTACAGAGATGCAGAGATGCTTCAACATATGAAAATCAGTCAATGTAATCCACCACATAAATAAACTGAAAGAAAAAAAAAACTACATGATTATCTCATTAGATGCTGAAAAGGCCTTTGACATAATCCAGCACCCCTTCATGATAATAGTACTGGAGAGATAAGGACTACAAAGGATATACCCAAACACAATCAAGGCAATTAACAAAAAGTCTGTAGCCAACATCAGATTAAATGGAGAGAAATTCAAAGCATTTCCACTAAAATCAGGAACAAGACAAGGTTGTCCACTCTCTCCGTATCTATTCAATATAGTATTTAAAGTTCTAGCTAGAACAGTAAGACAATTGAAGGAGATCAAAGGGATAAAAATTGGATAGGAAGAAGTAAAAGTATCTTTATTTACAGATGATATGATAGTATACATTAGTGATCCTAAAAATTCCACCCAGAACTTCTACAGCTGGTAAACACTTTCAACAAGTAACAGGATACAAAATTGACTAATAAAAACTAATAATTTTCATATATACAAATGACAAATAGACTGAGAAACAAACTAGGGAAACAACATCATTCACAATAACCTCAAATAATATAAAGTATCTTGGGGTAACTCTAACCAAGCAAGTGAAAGACTTGTATAATAAAACTGCAAATCTTTAGAGAAAGAAATTGAAGAAGATGATATCAGAAGATGGCCATCTTACCAAAAGCTATCTACAGATTCAACACAATCACCATCAAAATTATTCCAACAAAATTCTTTACAGACCTTGAAAGGATAATTCTCAACTTCAAATGGAAAAACAAAAACAGCTAAAACAATCCTGTACAATAAAAGAGCTTTTGGAGGTATCACCATTCCTGATTTTAAGCTATACCACAGAGCAATAGTAATAAAAACTGCATGGTATTGGCATTAAAAGTAGACAGGTTGATTAATGTAATCAAATCAAAGACCCAGAAATAAATCCACACACCTATGGACACTTGATTTTTGACAAAGAAGTCAAAATTATATAATGGAAAAAAGAAAGCATCTTCAACAAATGATGCTGGTCTAACTGGATGTCTGCTTGTAGAAGAATGAAAATAGATCCATATCTATTACCCTGCACAAAACTCAAGTCCAAGTGGATCAAGACCTCAACATAAAACCAGATACACTGAACCTGATAGAAGAGAAAATGGGGAATAGCCTCGAATGCATTGGCACAGGAGACAACTTTCTGAACAGAACATTGATAGCACAGGCACTAAGATCAACAATTAATAAATGGGACCTCATGAAACCTAAAGGCTTCTGTAAGGCAAAGGACACCATCAGACAAAATGGTTGTCTACAGAATGGGGAAAGATTTTTACCAACTTTCCACATCTGACAGAGGGCTAATATCCAAAATATATAAATAACTCAATAAACTAGATATCAAAAAACACTAAACAATCTAATTTAAATATGGGGTATAGATATAAACAGAGAATTCTCACTAGAGGATTCTCAAATGGCTGAGAAACACTTAAAGAAATGTTCAACATCCTTAGCAAATCAAATCAGGGAAATGCAAATCAAAACAACTTTGAGATTCCATCTTATACCTGTCAGAATGGCAGCTCATGCTGAAGAGGATGTGGAGCAAGGGGAACACTCCTTCACTGCTGGTGGGAGTGCAAACTTGTATATCCACTAGGGAAATCAATATGGCAATTCCTCAGAGAATTTGGAATCTATCTACCTCAAGACTCAGCTATACCACTCTTGGGGATATACCCAAAGGACATTCCATCCAACACAAGGACACCTGCTCAACCATGTTCATTGTGGCTTCATTCACAATAGCCAGAAACTGGAAACAACTTAGATGTCCCTCAACAGAAGAATAAACAGTATGTGGTACATTTATACAATGGAGCTGTTAGAAAAATGACATCATGAAATTTGTAGGCAAATGGATGGAACTAGAAAAAATCATTCTGAGTGAGTTAACCCAGACCTAGAAAGACAAATATGGTATGTATTCACTTATAAGTGGATATTAGTTATTAATTAAATTATAGTCAAGCTACAAACCATAGGCCCGGAGAGGTTAGGTAAAGAGGAAAGTTCTTGGGGTGGTGGTGGTTGTGAGTGGATCTCCCTGAGAAGGGAAAATAGAATAGATTTTATGAGTGGACTGGGGGTGGGTGGGGATGGGAGTTCTAAGGATCATGTGTGGAAGAAAATGGGATGGAGGGAGAGAGTGCTGGACTTGGGGGGCACTTGGGGGATGGTGTAGAAACCAGCATGGTAGAAACTTCTTGCAATATATGAGGGTAATTCTAATGAGGACTCCTAGTAATGAGGGATAGAGTCTCAACTGGCCACTTCTTGTCAGGCAAGGCTTCAGGTGGGGGGACTGGGTTGTATTCATTTGAGTTTTTGGCCAAGGGAGTCCACAGAAATCCCCAAACAACCCAGGCTGATACTAAGACAAAGGGTACAAAAGGTTGCTCTCTGCAAACTGACAGTGGGCCCAGTTGCTAAGGACAACACCCACACAACTCATTGAACATGGATAAATCGATATGGTACCTACATGGAAACTTTATCCTATGTTTGATCTCTTTGATGTGGGAAGGTACTCGGCAGACTACTGAAAGAGAAACATGTACACACAGGCACAAACTTTTGACCTACATTCTGTCCTGCCCACAAAATATGCTAGGACAATGGTGGCATAGAACCTGTGGGAGTAGCCAACCAGTGTTTGGTTTGACTTAAGTGGTGGCACTCCACAAGAAGGAACCCATACTTGACATTGCTTGGGTGACTAAGAATCAGAGCCTAGACAGCCCAGAGGCCTAAAGTAAAACCAAATGTGACTGCTTTAAAACAAGTAAGCACAAAGCAAAACAATAAAATGATTCCTAATGACATTCTGGTATATTCATAGATCAGTGCCTTATCATCAGAGAAGCTTCCTTTGGCAGCAGATGGGAACAGATGCAGAGGCCCACAGCCAGACATTATTTTGGGGGAAGAGTTTAATTTGGAGGTCTCCCTCAAATTCCTTCCCCTCAGAGCTCAGGGAATCCCACAGAAGAGGAGGCAGAAAGACTGTAAGAGCCAGAGGGGAAGGAGAACACCAAGAGAACAAGGACCTCTGAATGAACTAAGCAAGGTGCGTATGAACTCACAGAGACTGAAGCAGCAAGCACAGGGTCTACATTGGTCTACCTCAAGTTCTCTGTGTATATATTATGGCTATTAGCTTAGTATTTTTATGGGGACTCCTGAGTATGAGAACAATTGGGTCTCTGACTCTATTGCCTGTTCTTGGGACTCTTCTCTTCCTGTTGAGCTGCTGTGTCCAACTTTGATAAGAAAGTTTTTGCTTCCTTTTATTATATTTTATTTTGTCATGTTTTGTTGTTATCTCTCAGAAGCTTGTTCTTTTCTGATGAGAGATAGAAAGGAAGTGGATCTGGAGGGAAGGGGAGGTTGGGAGGAACTGGGAAGAGCAGAGAGAGGGGAACTATAATCAAGATATAGTGTATGATAAAAGAATCTATTTTCAATATAAAATAAACCCATATGCTCAGGGAAAAGGTGAAAATAATAGATTAATTTTCTCTCTTTGTATATTTTAATTTAGTAAACCAATGATTTGGACTTTGAGAAAAATGTCAGCAAAATAGGAAGAAAGAAGATGCACAAGAAGGTGCTATGGGACACGGCACGGAACACACAGATTATGATTTCCTTTGTGTGGAGAAAAGATAACAGCACCTCAATTTTCTTATGTATCATCCCATGTTTTCTCTTCTCTAATGCAAATTCTGATCATTCCTGGTATGGTTTGCTAAATGTTGGCAATATTTGTTCGTTACAATTACCCAAGCTATGTAGAAATAGTAACATAGAATTCTCATTCGTTGGGAGGCCTTCATAAAAATCCTCTTTGGCTATTAGACAGAAACAACAGGCTACAAAAGTTAAATATAAATTAAAAGGGAGATAATTATGGCTAAAGAGGGAGCATGAAAAAGAAAGTATGAGTTTAGAATAAAGAAATAATGGGTTTAGAAAGCTAATATCTTGATATTTATGCTTATGTCACAGTCACTAGAAACACAACCTCTTTTTTTCTTTTTACTTGTTCTTTGCTTTAGTGCTATAAAACACAGCTTTTAGTTATAATGAGTAATAGAATCAAGACTCAACCAATCAAAATACAGCACTGTGGAGACCAGTCCCAGCTGATACAGCTACAACACAACTTCTGAACCTAGTGCTCAGGGGTAGCTGTGGAAGAGTGATAGAAAGAGCATAAGAGCCAAGGAACACATAATTTGGTGTGTGATTGTGTCTTGGGAATGTCAGAAGATGAAGCTGGAAAGAAATTCTTTTGAAGTAAATTAAGCAATACATGAACACTAAAAGTGTAGGACTTAATGATTTTAGATGACTCTAATTTGCAAAGTTAGTGCATAGAATAAAATGGCAAAATTATGCTTCAAGAGAGTAGATCATAAAATGCAAGACTCTCATAGCTTGCCTTTGGAAATGTGGTGTCAACTTACCTGCTCTTATAAACCATCTTTACTGATCAGCGTTTTGGACCAAGCGGGGTCCCTGATGTCTAGATACTGAAATAGAACTAGGTTGCAAAATACCAGGACTTACCTATGATGGAAAGGAGGCAGGAAGCAGAACCAAGCAAAGGAAAGGTGAACTGTGACACAGGTGACATTTGCTGTGCAGTTTGCACTGGCATGCAGTGCCAGGCTGGGGTTATGTATCCAGATTTGTCTCCGACTGTTGACCTGCTCATATTTATAGGCATCTATTTCTATTTACACCCTTCTTACTCAGGAACAGTATCAGGGCAGATCCTGAGAGGCAGAGAGGATTCGAGTTCAAGAAAATGAGATTTTTACATCATGGAGCTGAAGTCATACCTTTCAGGGCTGAGGAGAGACCATGAGCTGAGCAGGCAGCAAGCCTTTCCTCAGATGAATGTGATATCTATCATACTGTGGCTGAATATTCATTTTATGTATTCTGAGTCCCATTTACATGCTGTCTAGTAAATATGAGCTTTAGAAGACAAAAATGGCATGTACCACTTGTGTGTCCCCACCGTTGGGAATGAAAAGCTCAGAGACATGCAGAACACCAAAACAGAACATTTAATCGTAGCAAGTTCTGGCAAATTCTTCATTGGTTTATGTGCAGGATACATGTAAACAAAATTAGGAAGTTTTTAGGTTACTTGTGGAAAGAAAGGATTCCAGCAAAAGAGATTAATCAGCAAAAATGGAAATAAACACTATGAAGGGGAAGAGGAATAATATTTTATTATTAAAAAGACTATGTGAGTTAATTTAGACAGCTTTACTTTCTGCCTTAGTTTTTGTGATATTCAGCACACTTAGTATCTCTCAGACAAGATGACCTCTACAATATAAAAGTTAATGAAATCTATAAATCCATAAATGGTCATATCCTCAGTATTTTAGTAGTTTGTAACACAGAAGTGTAACAAATGTTAAGGTTGTATTTAAATTATACTGATCAGATGCTTTGTAAATTCTAGGTTCATGCATGTCTTAGTGATTGATTATAATTCTTTTATTTCTAGATGAATAATGGATTTGGAGTTTTAAACAACTAGTTGCTCAGAATGGAAGACTCTTCAATACTGCTTAAAAAAACAAGAACATTGGCCTGGTATTCTAGTTTATAGCCGGAGGCACTGAACAGCTAGGCCAGAGGCACAGCTGCTGGAATGAGGTAAAGTGTAGGAAGCAGAGAGAGAAAGGCTGGGCTGCCGAGGTAAACTGTATTGTTTCTTTTTCTTACTCTCTTGGTTTCTCCTTTTTTTTTTTTAAGGCAGGATAACACTCTGTAGTCTACCTAACCTCAAACTTGTGGCGATCTGTCTGCTTCTGTTTCCTAAATGCTGAAATTACAGATGGGAGCCACCAGGTGTAGCTGCTATTATTTCTTAATGGATAGTTTCTTGCTCTGAAAGATAAAACGTAAGGGGGAGAAGACACAAGAAGAGTTGGATGGAGGAAAAGGAAGGGGAGGAAAGGTGTAATTATAATTTAATGAAAATTTAAAAATAGTAAAAATATAATCTAGGAAACGGATACAACAAAAATTCGCTCTAAAAGAAGTGAAGGAAGCCATCAGGCAAACTCCCCTTCAATGCCTCCAGCACTTAAGGCAACCCTGTCAGTACACTTTGGCCCAGCTCCCAGGCAGTTTTCATCTGTTTCTCATGCCTCAGAAGTTTTCATGGTGCATGCAAAAACTTGGTTAGTAGTTCAAGGATTAATGCGAGAGTTGTAAAATCACGGTTATTTTTAATGACTGTCATTTATAAATAGGAAATTGTTCATTAATTGTTCATGATATTTATTATATCTTCACCCCATGGATTCTGGCCTATTTTGTTTTTTGATGGTCAAGTTGCGTGTAAATAAAATTATGAATTTGCTTTTTAAAAGAAACTCCTTTCTTGCCGGGCGGTGGTGGCGCACGCCTTTAATCCCAGCACTCGGGAGGCAGAGCCAGGCGGATCTCTGTGAGTTTGAGGCCAGCCTGGGCTACCAAGTGAGTTCCAGGAGAGGCGCAAAGCTACACAGAGAAACCCTGTCTCGAAAAAACAAAAAAAAAAAAAAACAAAAAAAAAAAAAAAAGAAACTCCTTTCTTTTTTAAAGATTGGTTTTGTACACTGAAGGATGGTTTCATAGTTTCAGTAGTTTTTAAAGTTATCTTTGAGGATTTTTATGAACATCTCCATTTTTAAAGCATATTTCAGTTTATGCTCATAAAATATTTGAAATTATCTGGCTCACTCTTTTCTATTTTTTTGAAGGATAATTTGAAATCACAGAAGAGGAGAAGACATGCCTGGAGCTCACAACTCTTCATAGGCAGAGGCCAGCTTGAGCTCTGGCTTCAGACATGGAGACTAGCGCAGATAGCGCCCTTTCCCTCCCTGTCCGACTGCTGAGCTGGCTTTCCTAACCACTCCAGATTCATCTGCATTGTTCTTGTGCCCATTAAAGAGCATCTTCAGAGTGTTTGGTGTTCCAATATTAATTTCCTCTATTTTCATTAGCATTGGATGATAAGGTGGAACATTAGCCATCTGTTACTTTAACAAATTCCTGAAGTAAATCAACTAATAAAGAGCAAAGTTTCATTTTCTCCCATTTGTTTGGAAAGTTGCAACCATGGTCTGTTGTCCTCCTACCTCTCAGGACTGTGGCCAGGTGGCACATCAATGATAAGAAATAAGAGAGGGAAAAATGGATCAAATCAGGGGCCCCCAGTTCCTCCCAGGGTCATACCTACAATGATCTAATGCTCACCAAGTGCCCACTCTTACATATTTTACTACATCAAAATACCAACAAGCTAGACATAGGGAATGTATGGCTAAGATGTCACTTGCATTCTATTATTCCCTTTATACAGAATAGATGCATAGCCCTTTGTGAAGTGTCTCTAAGACAGAAAAATATCAGTTCATGCCCCACTGGAAGACAGTTTTACCCACTTGTTAATTAATCATTTATCCAAAACTGTTTTGGCTGAAATTTAGAGGTATTATAAGCAGAGATTTCTCTCTCAACCTTTTCAAGTAAATAAAATATTCAGCTGTGTTTTCATACATCACTATATTAAAACCTTTTAATTACAACATTGATTAGGGCATTTGTTTACTGCAGAAACATTTGGGAAGTCTTAAACATTCACGGCATAAGCAATCAACATTAAACAATATTCAGAGTCTAGAGGAAGGTTTTGTAGTGACAGTGTGTGTTGCTCACAAGCATATCTTGATTTAGGAATGTAGGAGCTTGAAGCGGGCCTGCAGAGTGCGGCGAGGTAGAGATTACCAAGGGAGGCCCGGGTATTGGAGCACTTGTGAAGCGAATTCAAGAACTGGAAACAGAAATGGTATTAAAGATTGCTTCCCCTTGCTAATTTTGGAGATGTAGAAGTAGGTTCTCAGAATGTAACTTCTCCAAGGTTTGTGAAGGAACCTAAGAGAGATTTCCTTGGGAAACTGATTTTTAACATACTCATAACACCCAGAGAAGGCATCCAATGATTAGTTAGGAGTTGGGGAGGGCGTCTGGGACAGAGAGAACAGATTCTCCAGGGCGCTTTTTAGCTGCAGTGAAGATTGAACATGATGAACCATATAACACTCAGGAGGAAAAAGGCTGAAAAATCACTATTCATAAAAAATCAAACAAAAATTTAAAATATCCAATGGCTTCCTCTTATCCAGTCCCAATATTTCTTAACCTCCACTTTAAAAGTAGACATCACTGCTCTTTATCCATTGTTTCTCAGACAACTGACTTTTCAGATCCATGCAAGTTTTCCTTATTTGTATCATGTAGAATAGAACAATGGATTTCTTCTTGTCACTTTCTTATATCTTAAATCATGAAAGCTGTGCTGAGACTCTGCAGAACGTTTCTCTTTCTTCTCAGGCTTAGGATTCAGTTTACCTTGGATTCTATCCACTCCCTGGCACTGGTCAATGTGGACATGGTGTTCTGTCCTCAGGGCCACACTTCTGCAGGCATTCTTGGTGCCCTCTTGTTCTGCTAATGCAGAAGAGAGCCCTAGAAGCTAAGACTCAGACCAGCACCCGTGTTACACACGTGACTTGGGAAGAAGGAAATGCATACTTCCTCTGCTGGTTTTCATCAGGGAATATGATGTGAACTGAGGAGAAAAAAAAGGTGAAATCCTTTTAAGTCAGCTTGAAAACGAAATCGCTCCATGAAGCCTTCAGAGCCTATAATTTACCCAGGAGCTGAAACATATGCACTCTCTAAACAACCAGAATAAAGAAACAATCTATTTTAAAACCTGGTTTCACAGTCTCTTGGCTCCAAATTAAACCTTTCATTGTAGGGGAAGAAAGTGCTTGGGTGTGTTCAACAAGAAACAAGAAATGTTTGCTTTCAAGCTGTCTAGTAGCTCTGAGATGACTGTGACCTAGAAGGCATTGCTGGAGAAGCAGGTTCCCTCACAGGAAGTGGAGTGCCTTTTCCCAGCGCAAACAGATGTGCACTCAGCCCCAAAGGAGGATTTGCCCCACAGATGGGCTTGTCCTGAATATGAACCTGCTTTCATCATGGTAAAAGTGACATTTCGTAATAACGAAATTCAGCTGTTTCCATGCCTTAGGGAGGAATTGTCTGTGAGGATACATTCTCCCCTTCTCTTTTGTACACACCATACACTCATTTGCAGACACAGGCATGCTCTCTGACACATACACACTCACACTCATACACACACTCTCACAGCATACAACACATCTGTGGATGTGGACAGCAAATCTTTCAAAAGGTATCTTCCGTGTCTCTAATACCATACCCGGTTTAATGTGCTAAAATTGCCATCCATAATACAGTGATCAGAATGTGCTATTAAATTGTTGATTAAACCAATCTCTCACAATGGTCTATGGTTCCTACCCCAGAAAAAGCTAGAGGTTAAGTGTGTACGGGGGCACTCAAAGAAGCACTGAGGAGTGGAGCTGTAAGTGCTTAGTGGTTGCTTTCATTTAGAAACTGACCACAGTAAAATGAAGCTCCCCTGGACACATGGGTTCTCAGGCTCTTTGTTCCTCATGGCTTTACACTCAAGGCAGATGGCATTCCCTGACTTAACTAGATCTTTGCTGCCTCTGGTTATCCTAGCTTGAACTTCTCTTGCCACCAAATCTCAAAGTCAAAGGGACAAGAGACAAAATTATACTTCAGAAGTATTTGGACCCGATTTTCAGCTGTGAAAGGCATCGGGGAGAGGAAGCAACAGATGTCAGGCGCTGGATAGGGAACCTTTAAAAACTCATGCCAACGAGCAGAGCCAGTGCCAGGGGCAGCAGCATCGGCAACAGCACTAAAGACCCAACCCTTACGTGTCAGCACACTCCTATGCTCCTTGTTTCTCCATGACGTTCTTGCCATGGCAAACACAACTTGTTTAAAATGTGAGCCGAAGTAACCCCATCCTTTGTTAAATTCATTGATTTTGTTGGGTTTTAAAATTAGAGCAACAAGAAAGGCAATTCATATAGACAATACTTATGAAAGAGGCCCAAGTTTCCTTTACCTGTTCAGATACAGGGACTGCAAAGTGCAAATATGAAAGGACTATTAGGACAGGATTTTTTTCCCCCAGTAAGTAAAGCGTTTACTTTAACATTTTTATGCCTTTAAAAATAAACTCACATTTAATTCTACACATTTTACTACTAAATACAAAGATAGCAATATATTCAGTTAAAAAATCTATCTATCTATCTATCTATCTATCTATCTATCTATCTATCTATCCATCCATCCATTCGTCTATCTGTTGTTTTTCAAGACAAGGTTTCTCTGTGTATCCTTCGCTGTCCTGGAACTTGCTCTGTAGACCAGGCTGGCCTTTAACTCAGAGATCTGTTCTATATAGTTAAGAGTGAAATGGGGACTGTCCTGCGAAGTTCACACTCACCACCAGTTTGCCATGGATAACTATATCCCCATGCTCCTTGTCTACAGCAGCTCCAGCATATGTTATGCCAACTTTGTGGGCTGCTGTGGGATGTTCTGTATGGCAAATGTGTTGCTAATTAGTCAATAAATAAAACACTGATTGGCCATTGGCTAGGCAGGAAGTGTAGGCGGGACAAGGAGGAGAATAAAGCTGGGAAGTGGAAGGCTGAGTCAGAGAGACACTGCCAGCCACCACAATGACAAACAGCATGTGAAGATGCCGGTAAGCCACGAGCCATGTGGCAAGGTATAGATTAATGGAAATGGATTAATTTAAGCTGTAAGAAAAGTTAGCAAGAAGCCTACCACGGCCATACAGTTTGTAACCAATATAAGTCTCTGTGTTTACTTGATCGGGTCTGAGTGGCTGTGGGACTGGCAGGTGAGAGAGATTTGTCCTGACTGTGGGCCAGGCAGGAAAACTCTAGCTACAGTGGGCAATGACACTCTGGGCCATCTTCCCCTTAGTCTTGGGCCATGATGGCGGGCATGGGCTAAAATGACTCCTACATAGGTGATGAGGCCCAGAGCAAGAGAATCACTCTGACACTGAGTATTCCATCAAACATGGCATTGTCACCAACTGGGATGACATGGAGACAACCATATTTCTACAATGAGTGGTGTGAGGCCCCTAAGGAGCATCCCATGCTGTTCACTGAGGTGCCCCTAAGCCCCAAGGCCAACTGTGAACAGATGGCCCAAATCATGTTTGAGATCTTCAACACCCCAGCCATGTATGTAGACATTCAGGCCATGCGGTCCCTGTCTGCCTCTGGTGGAACCACTGGCATTGTGATGACTCTGGAGATAGGCCCATCCTCACTGTGCCCATCTATGAGGGCTAAGTTCTCTGCTATGTCATCCTGCATCTGGACCTGACTAGCTATGACCTGATAGACTACCTTGTGAAGATCCTGGTTGAGTGGGGCTACAGCTTCAACACCACAGCCAAGAGGGAAATCATGCATGACATCAAGGAGAAGCTGTGGTATGTTGCTGTGATGTTCAGCATTACATTTAATGTTTAGACTTACTATGCTTGAGATACCAAAAAGCAAAAAATGCCTCTAACATGTAAGCCCCTAGTTTGTTCAGCTGGTACCCTAGCAATCTACTTCCCTTTCCCTCAAGTGTTGAAGACTTCTTAAATCAACCCATCTTGTAAAATTTGCTGTTCTGGGGCTGGAGAGATGGCTCAGAGGTTAAGAGCCCTGGCTGTTCTTCCAGAGGTCCTGAGTTCAAATCCCAGCAACCACATGGTGGCTCACAACCATCTGTAATGGGATCTGGTGTCCTCTTCTGGCCTGCAGGCAGAACACTGTCTGCATAATAAAGAAATAAATAAAAAAAAAATTTGCTGTTCTAGCAAGATAAGACTGTATTTTTGCTTTTGTAATCAAACTTGCTTACTTGTTCAATGACTAGGACAACTGCAAGACATTTATGTTAAAATTAGACCCTGCCGACACGTAGACAGAATACATGTAATCTTGTGGTTTTTG